AATCTTTGGTTTGTAACATCAATTACTTACTAGGGACATGCTCATGAGAATGATTACTTCAGATGGAAAATAAACTGCAAATGTAGATGAACTCACAGATCTTGTTCGTGTGTTTTTAATAGAGATTTTTCAGGCTAATTCTAAACACGTTTTTCATGATTTTGCAAGGTATTAGCTGCTATTTAACCTTTGAGACTAAGCCATTTTCAAGGACGCATGCCCCTGAAATATGAGTTTGTTTAAAGGTACAATATGCAATCTGGAGCAGAGATGCAGAGAAGCCATCTGAAGTTACTATCGGTGTTAAGGAGATTTAAAACAGCTAGTGATGAGATCTGCACTGTATTTTTATTTCTTTGGACGGTTTCCCACCCGACCCACTTTCAATCAACCTAAAAGCTTCAGTTTCAGAAGAGCCTGTAGCCAGTACAGCATAGTCTGCCTTTTAATTATAAGCACAATGCTGGAATTATCAATTAGTAAAATATTACTACTATTTTTGCCCTGAATATGTTCCTCTCCTCAGCAAAAGCAATTGAAGATAAACCTGTCTTGACATCTTAATGAGGAAAAATACATCATTCCGCCCACCACTTCCACCACCTACATTTATCAGCTTGATAAAAAGATCACAGTAGCTTTAAGATTTCACAGGGGAAAGTTTTAAGGTACAGCAAGTTATCACAGGACACCTAAGCTTAAAGTCATGCCAAGGCCACAAATGAATTTGAACTTGGTGGACTCATTCTAGTCCCTATGTGCCCAGAACACAAAACCACCAAAAAACCCTGGCACAACTGGCTGCCTCTTTGAGAAACCTGGGCCTCACTATTAAAAAAAGGAGACACTCAAGACACTACCATTTATGCTTTATTTTCAGAATAACTGAAATCACTCACTACATTGTAGTTAAATGCCCACCCGCCAATCTGTTTTTGAGGTACCACAATAAAGCATGTATTCTAATCCACGTTGCACTGGGAAATCCTCCAGATACAAGAAAGTGAGCACCTCTGATGATTTTGGTTTAATCCTAGCCCTTCAAACAAATATAAATTATAATAAAAAGTGCTCTGTCCTTCTAGTCAGTCTGTCTCTCCCTCTCCTCTATATATACATACACACAAAATATTCTTACCTAATCAAATCTTAGCTAGAACATACGTAAAAGGAATTTCAGGCAAGTGAGAGTACAAAGACTAATCTACTCAAAAAAAAAAAGGAGGGGGGGGGGAGAGATCTTACTAACATTAAGATAGTGCCACTCTTTTCCTACCAGAATCGTTGTATGTAAATAGCATTGTCTGCACACTGCAAATAGTGGATGTAAGTAAACCCTGATTTAAAAGTTTAAGATAGATAATTCCTTACAGATGCAAAACACTTCATGCTATGGAATGGAAGTATGATTCAAAATAGTCATAACAGTACTAGATACAAGATCTACAGGAGGTATAGATGAGAAACCACAAAAACACAATTCAGCTGTCAAATCCACTGAGAAACTAAAAGCGACTTAACAGCTGTCCAAATAACCACAAAATATTAAAACATTCCTATTAGATATAAATTTCATCCTAAAGTCATCCCTCTCCCAAATAGCCATATCATTTATTTGCCTATAAGCATTTTATACTTAATTTAAGACAGCTGGTGTCTCATCTGGCTAGCATACAATGTGTGTTCCTGCAGACACTATTGCCATTCAAGTTGCATTTTGTTTCCAGATAACACATTTGTTTCTGAAAAGAGCAATCAAGTGTTGAAATACTGAGGTGCACAGACATAAACTGGAGTTAAACAGCACCAGGACTGACAGGTCAAAGAAAGAAAGTATTTGTTGTATGAAGTACCATCTTGATTTAAACAGCAGCATCAAGTTGTTTTACATACACAATTTAGGTCTCAAATTACTAGAAATCTGTTCATTAAACAAAATTTAACACAAATTCTGGCTGCAAGCATTGAAAACCTAAACACTAGGGCATTGTACTTGAGAAACAGTGAGTGAAATTAACTAAACTCTACCTATTGTGAGTATATTTCACTGTCCATAAGTGCAAAAATTAATTGAGTAGTGAAAGTTTGGGTTAAATTGGAAATGTTTTTTAAAAAATATTCTCTGTTATATACCTACAGACACTATGGCTCTTTACAGTGCGCCTTTAAAAGGGAAAGCTCTCCTTTTTACATAATGTATTAGCAAGACCAGGATAATAAGACACTTAGAAATGTTACTTATAACTATGTTTAGTGAAAAGCATAAAATTAGGCGGAACTTCTATATTCTCCGTAAACACTAAAGAGACATGGCAAAGCAAAAGCTCCTATTATTACAACATTATTATAGCAATCTTATGTCAGAGCACACCCATGTGTGAGCATGCATAACTCCCAATTAAATTGAGCAAGGTTGTTGTTCAAGACCATTCAGTAACACAAACATTTTTATTGATTTGTGCCTTATCTTTTATTACATTATAATTCAAAGCCACCATAATTACTCCGATAATTAGAACCAACTACACCATATCAAAAAATCACAATTTAGAACCTAATAGTGGAAAACACAGTTTAAAGACTACTATAACACTTATTTCTGCTGGGAAAGTAAAAATCAATTATGATGAAATTTTAATGCTTGAATTATTATTCAACATTTTATCATTACTATTCAGACAGCTGGATGAGATTAGAGACATTGCCAAACTGACAGTTGTTGACAGCAAATGTCTCTTAAATTTTATTTTGAAGATTAAGTTTAAAAACTGGTGTATGGATTCAAAGACCCATAAATAAAAGCTGATGTTGAATCTGGATCAGCTGTACAGAATCACTTAGATTTTGGCATTTTCCCTCCAATAACTAGTGTATTATAATAATCTTTCCTACCTGAACAATTTCTTTAATTTGTTCATTTAAGATACATTTACTGGATTATTATATATATTCTTGACATTATAAATTCTTTGAATTTAAGTTTTTTCAAAGAAAAGATGAGGTAGGGACCCCAGACAGGCCAACTATATATGCTCAACATTATCAACCAATAATAAATCTTAGTCTCAAGGCCCTATAAAGACCATTTAGCATTAAGATAGGAAATGATTTTAACTACCGCCCATGCCTTGAAATTGTATCAATACTCCTCCTCCCTTGAGCAAGATGTATTACTATTACAGTGCAGTGGCCTGACCAGCTTTTTTTAAAACCTCATTTACATTAATTATTCATAGCATGGATCCTTCCATTTCCCTAAGAAATTATCTAACTGAAATCTTAGTATTTAAACAGTAACCCATATTTTGAAAAGATAAGCAAACTAAGCCTGTTCTTAAAGATTACATATGTACAGACATTTAAATGTCTTATTGCAGTGTTATCCTTTACAAAGCTGCCTGGTGATCCATTCAAAACCCTTTAAACATTTTTATTACAAAAAAAATCAAATATTAAGTCATCATCACTAAATTTAAGAAACTACCATTTTATACTTATAATATCATGATTCCTTAAACTTGATCTTTTTTCGTGTTTGACTAAAGCCTGTAGAACCAGAAGTGTTTAGTCAGGGCCTGCTGTCTATCGAGTTAAGCAAGCTACAGTAAGATTAGAACTGTCCTAGTAACAAATAACTTAAAATACACACTTAAAACTACAGTTTAGCACCGGAAACATAAGAATCCAGCAATTCTTATCAAAAGGGGTAACAAATTTAACAAAGGACCTGAGTTAGTGACAATTTAGGAAAGGCTTTTTCTGCACACAAAGGAGAGATTTACACCTCAGCAGCACCACAAAAAACTCATGACTGAATGCATGGATGACAAACGTTGTGAAGTGCATTACTGGAAGCTGTAGGCTACACTTGACACAGAAGCCAGCACTCTGCACACTCAGCCAAAATTCATTTTCTCCTCGGTTCGTTTGTGAAATTGATCAAGTTGTTTTTTAAAACTGAAACAATTGCACAAACATGCCTAGAGCTAAGTCTTAGGGCCACCAGTTGAATCTTCTCTTACTTGTGAAGAACATGCAAGGGTTTCTTTCCTCCAACATCTCTGTGACGAGCGAGAATCGCTAATTACATTTTATTTGCCCCGAAGGCAACTTACGCATTTAAAGCCAATCGCTTTCATCACCTGGTTTTTCCATGAAACTTTAAAGACACCACAGACTGTCATTTCGGTCCGTGCCACACACTAGGCGACTGGAAAAGGCATTTTCCCTTTGTTGTATTCGCTTTCGCCCCTACCCAAGTGGCGTTTTGTGGGTGATTGATGACAGGACATGCCCCCTCCCCCTCCAATATCTGAACAGCAGGAGAGGAGGTGCCGCCGCCCGCCTCACTGAGGCACCACCACTCGCTCCCGGCGCTAATGGCTGCAACAAATCGATCGGGGGACCAGAGAGAGGGGCCTCGAGCCCAGGCACCTTTCCCGGGTGCGATCGCGCCGCCCCCACGCCACTACGTACATGCTCACCCCCCTCCGCCCCCAGGATTTCCGCAGTTTGACTCGCCCCTGCGGCTCCCCAGCCGCCCAACGAAACCCTCCACGCCCGCCCCAGCGCAAAGAAACCCGCCCCCCACCCCGGCGCCCCCTGGCTAGAAAGAGTCTCTTCCCATCCCCCAGCCAGCCCGGCCCCGACCTGTCGCCTCAGCCCGCACCTCCCCCACCCCCCGGCCGGCATCGGCCCAGCCCTCCCCCTCCGCTGCCAACGGCCATTTCTATTGTGTCGCCTCCGTGGCGATGCCAGGCAGAGCCGGAATCTCCCCGCCTGTGCCGCTGCCATTCCCGCAGCCCGAGAGAAAATGGCTGGAGGAGACTCGAGACCCACCCCGCTGCCCTCCTCCTCTACCCAGAGCAGGGCTCTTCCCCCCCCCCGGCCCTGCGCACTCCCCAGGAGGGCCGACAGCGCCACCCCCCCCCCAGTCAGGACCCGCTTCCCTGCCCCACCCAAACGCCCCCCACCACCACCACGGGGCCCCCGGCACCCACCTGTGGTGAGGCGGGAGGACACCTCCCCGAAGGGCGAGGGCTCCATGCGCAGGTATTTCTGCGGCGAGGCGGCGGCGAAGGAGGAGGCGGCGGCGGCCGAGGAGGCCGGGGCTGACAATGGCGCACATCGCCTCCGCTTCGGGGAGGCCGGGCTCAGCAGAGGGTCGAAATCCAGAGTCCTTTTCAATGTGGCGCCGCAAGCCATGGCCGGGGGGGAGCGGGCCGGGGGCTGCGGAGACCCGGGGAGAGCGGGCTACGGGGGCTCGGTGCGAGGGGAGGGGGGAGACGGCAGCAGCCGGCCCAGCCCAGAGGCGCCTTCCCCACCGTCTGGGGCGGATGGGAGGGGGGAGCTGCGTCAGGGCCTCCGCCTCCTCCCTATCGCCCTCTCCAGGGAGCGGCTCCGGCCCCCCCGGCGGCGCCTTCGCCGACGGATTCGCTCTCCGCCCGCCCCGCCCTCGCGAATTCCGCCCCCGGCCGTTCCCGGGACGGTTGCTGGGACGGTAGGTGCGGAGCTGGGCTCGCCCCGCCGGTCAGGGGCCGCCGATGAAAAGCGATGGCAGCGGCAGCGGCGGCACTTCCCTCTGTGACTCTCCCACACCAGCAATATGGCGTCAATAACAACGCCGCTGATTCAAAAACCAGCCCTCTTCACTGCGCCTGCGTAGCAGGGGCGGTGGCCACCGCAAAGGCTCAGGGGACTTGTGGTTTTTTACCGTCTTCCCTGGCACTATGCGAAGGCGTTCAAAGGGAGTGGGGATAAACTACACTTCCCGCCATGCAGCGCGCTGGAGCCCTAACTTCCGGGGTAGAATTTAAATCCCACAGAGGCTGCAGTGTGGGATGTAGGTTAAAGGACAAGTGACTGAGAGTGGTAGCCTTATATGTCTCTAGTGCAGAAAGCAGGCAAATAACAGTCAGGCAGGGAAGAAGAGCTTTAGCGCTGAGCGAAATATAAAACACAGTTGAACCCAGGAAAATAGGCCTAACTCTTGGGGGGGAAGTTCATATGGCAAGATTTCCTGAACCACAAAGCAGATCAGGAAGATAAGAAATGAAAAGGGAAGAGGCCTTCTGAATATGGTTGGGGCTGGCAATCTAAGATTCTGTTTGAGGAAAGGAGCATTACTTGTTCTCAGCAATAATAGTGATTTTATACGTAAGTGCACTCCTGCTGGGATGCTGCACAAACTCTTATTATTTCTTTATGACACCACAGGTGTACATGGTACTTTACAACAAGTAAAATATACTGCACAAATGCTCTTAAGTAAAATTTGTGGTCTCAAAAGCTTTTAGTGTCAGAATTGTACCAACAAGTACAATAGTGTGTGAATAGAAAAAAATATGAGAACACAGGTACACATCCTAACTAATAACATACTGGAAAAGACCTTAGTTGAAAAATTGTTTCTTCAACATGATAAAGTGATATTCTTACAATTACTTAAACTGCTATCTTGTAGAAGGAAGCAAATGGAGGGCAGGGGAATAGGTTTAAAAAACTGTTTTCTATAGGGCAACATCAAACTACAAAAAGAAAAGGAGTACTTGTGGCACCTTAGAGAATAACAAATTTATTTGAGCATAAGCTTTCGTGAGTTACTGTTCATTCACGAAAGCTTATACTCAAATAAATTGGTTAGTCTCTAAGGTGCCACTAGTACTCCTTTTCTTTTTGCGAATACAGACTAACACGGCTGCTACTCTGAAACCTATCAAACTACAGTTTACCACTGTGCAAAATATAACAGTCAATTTAACTATTAGTAGCAACAAAAGATAAAGATACGGTATGTTCTTGGTAAATTAGTAACATTTTTAGAGATTAGGGAAATAGTCCCTTTCATAAATTACTTGGGTTTGGGTTTTGTCTTATTTTTAACAAATCAAACAAACAGTTCTTTAAAGGATGTGACTATACATTGGAATAAAACCTAACATCTGGAAATGAATCTCAGTTTTACAGGCCAAGATTAATGTATAAGTAATGTCTACTAAACCAAAAGAGGGTCATATCAGTCTAAATATACATTTAATTATCCTGATGACAACATGTTTGTACAGTTCCTAGCACTATCAGGCTGATCCCGATTGGGCTTACGGGCACTACTCTAATATGAATAAATAATAAATAACTTGCTTCCCTGTTAACAATAGCACATGTCAGGCCTGGAATAACTAGAATAGGGTTTTCATAACCAGATGCAGCTGGAAAAGGGTTTTCCTAACTTGAACAGACCTAAAAGTAACTAACTCCTGTAGCAAACTAGTTCTTCTTACTGTTGTCTTTTCTTTTGGACAGACTTGAAGTAGTCAAAACATTTCATTAAAGTGGATTCTGATAAGCCTTTCTTTAACCAAGGCAACATGTAAAACAAGGCCCTACATGACTAAGGGCTTGTCTACATGAGGAAAAGTACCATCATTACTATACCAATATGATTATACTGTTACAATTATTCTTCCCTGGAAGGACACTGTTATTCAGAATAACTGGCCTGTGACATTGCACTCTATATGATTTTATGAAAATATGCTAATGAGTGTGAATATAATGTAACTGGAATATGCTTCCTACCAAAGGTCTGTTGTAAGGTATCATTACAAAGCTTATAATCTACTGAGTGGGGTCATCCTATTTGTATAAATGTATCACTCTTGTATCTGAAACTAGAAACATGAAATATAACTCTGAGGGCCTATTGTAATTATGCAAAGTGTGAGCCATTAATGGTGGTTTGGAATCTTGATGGTTCCCATTAAATAGGACAAATGACTGTAAATGGTTCTGTTTACTTGTAAGTCTTCCTGTATACCTGTGTGCTGGCAAGTGGGTACTGAAGTCTTACAGTGACATGTGATCATGTCACCTGAACTGGAATCCATCTTTAACCTGGTGCTTTTCCATTTAAAAGGAGGGGTGGGAACCCAGAGAGGGACAAAGGATTCCCACCTTCTTCAAAAGATATATAAGGGGGTAGAACAGAACAAAGGGGGCTGCAGTCATGAGAAATCCCTGGGCAAACAGCTGTGCATATCTCTCTATCAGTGTTACAGAGGGTGAAAAATGTATGAGTTTACCCTGTATAAGCTTTATACAGGGTAAAACGGATTTATTTGGGGTTTGGACCCCATTGGAAGATGGGTATCTGAGTGCTGGAGACAGGAGCACTTCTTCAACTGTTTTCAGTTAAGCCTGCTGCTTTTGGGGGACGTGGTTCAGTCTTGGGTCTGTGTTTGTAGCAGACTAGAGTGTCTGGCTCAAATCAGGCAGGGCACTGAAGTCCCAAGCTGGCAGGGAAAACAGGCTCAGAGGTAGTCTCAGCACATCAGGTGGCAGTCCCAAAGGGGTTTCTGTGATCCAACCCGTCACATGGCCTTTTTTCAGTTCAGCTTTATTTGCAAAGTAAGCTAAACCGGAAAAGCCCATGGTGGAACTTAGACAAGTCTAACTACTGTGGTGCAATTATGCTGGTATAGTAATGCTGATAAATTTCCTCATGTAGACAAGGGTTCATATGGGCACATAACTGACTTAAACGGTAAAATGAAACATTCCATGAGCCAATAAGACCAAGGCAAAGCTTTCTTACAGTGATGGCTTTGAATCAGGGTAATCCTGTCCAACTCTCAACGTATGTTTTACACCTAGCAGAGTGCTCAAGACCTATCAGAACCTAGAAAGTTGACTCTGTCTTCATCTACATTTTGAGAGACTTGTTATTCTGGCACAATATATAATCAGTTATACCAAGTTTTGTCATAATCCATGTCCTCTAAGTTTAATTTACACTTGGTTCTATCATATAGGCCCTATCTATCTTAGCAAAAAAGGGGCTTTCTTCCAATTGAGTTAGCTCAGTCAAGTTAGCTTAACTCAGCTGTACTTCTGCTCCAGCTTCCCATCGTAACAGCCACATAGACACAATGGCCCAGACCTTCAAAGGTATGTAGGTGCCCAACTCCCATTGAAATCAGAGAGCTGGGCACCGAAATACCTTTGATGATTTAGTCCAGTTTAGTCCAATAAGATACTTTGAGCTGTGTCTACCTGAATGTTGGGGTAGGGGGCGAGTCAGTCAAGGTAAACTAACTCAATTGAGCTAATTTAACTGAAAATCCAGCTTGCCTGTCTTCTAGACACCCTTTATGGTCATTTATGCCACCACAGGACATGACGGTGGAATCTGCTTGGTGCAATGAGTGGTCAGGGATGACAGTCGTTAATCACTCTCTCATCTGTGACCCAACCATCTGTCTGCTAGATTTTTGTCTACCAAGACACTTGTGTGGCCATCTCTGAACCAGTTTTGAACAGGACAGGGCAGCTGTGTGGACAGTCGCTTTAAATGGGTTTTTTCTAATGACCCACAATTCAGCAGCCGTCAACTTCAGACTATATCACATATCCTTGACGAGTGTCCACTGACTTATTTCAGTGACAGACTACTGCCTCTCCACCTGGCTGATGACAATGCCATCAAATGGCTGGGCACATTGCGCATACACTGATATATAACTGAAAATACAGCTTTTTTGCCCAGAGAGACAGGACCATAGTTAGAAGAAGCAGTTGATTAGGGCATTGTCTATACACAAATTTGCACAGGTTTCAGTTTATCTTAAATCTGTTAAACTAAATTGAAATAAGCCTAATGTAAACCAAAATACACACAACTTTTTGCACCAGTTTCATGCAATTTAAAGTTACACCTTAAACTAAACCAGTGCAGTTTTTCCTGCAGACGAGCCCTAAGGCAGCAAAATGTCCAGTAACAGTAACAGTGGTTGAGGATTGTCAGAGGGCATATGTTTCCAATTTAATTGTAGTTGAAAATACCTTTAAAGTCAGGGCTTCAATCTATTTGTTATATTATTGTTCTTTCTTTATATATTTATATATATTTATTGTCAAAACAAAATGTATTGTACTGTAATCAATTATACACGATCCTGTTAAAATCTATATTTTATAATCTTATTTTACACAAGTAGCATCCACTAATTGTATTAACATGAAGGGTGGGATTGAAAAAATGATTTGTTTAGTAGTGATGCCATATAGCTGTGCTTTTATTAATTCTGTACTTCAAGTGTAAGACCCATTAAAAGGGCTAAAGGCCAGATGTAGCCCAGGGCTTTGGACGTTGTTGTGGTTTAAGAGGAAGTGGTGGAATAGTTGCTCTAGCTTATAACTTTTGGACAATTATGACAAACCTCTTTTTCAGGCTCCTTGAGTATTAGTCTTTACATTATCTTCTTTCCTCTGACCTCCCATTCTTTCTATCCTCACCCTATTTCTCCCCCTTGTTCTGCCACCTCAATATCTTGCTAGTTTTCTTTTTTTTTATCTTCTATCCTCCCCTCGCTCTCTTTACGTCTCATGTAGGCCCCTGTGATGGGGCTACACTAAGACTGAAACAGGGGAAGAGTTGGAGAACGGCAGGAGAATTGAAGAATTGGCAGGGAACAATGAACCGTGGCCACTGGGAGTTGTGGGCAGCCGTGCCTGTGGATGGTCAATGTAAACAAACTGTATCGTGGCCCGCCAGCGGATTACCCTGATGGTCCGTGTGCAGCCGCAGGCTGCAGGTTGCCCACCACTGATCT